GGGCACCCCCGTGACCCCAGGAGGACCCCTGTGCGTGGGAGACCTGCCCTCCCCTGCCTCCCTCCAGTCTGCCATCCTCAGGCAAGGGTCGCTGCACGTCAAGCTCACAATGGTCGACGGCAAGGTACGTGGCGTCATTGCATGTAACAGAGGAAACAGCTGTGTTGTTTTAGTTTAATTATGACCATTAGTATATTTTCATGTCAGTGTGCTTTTAAAAGCGTGTGTTTAAGTTTTGTTTTATTGACTCACGAAGTAGGCGATTCTCCTCTTTTATTTAAAAATGATGTTAGTGTTCCAACCTATTCGAAACGAAGTCAACATATGTCATCTTGTGGTTGGTATGGGCAGGATATCTTTGCTGGAGTGGAATGGGCTCGTGATTTCTGTAGGTAGCAAATTTCCGTTTTTATTAACTCTAAAGCCAAGGTGTTGCAAGCAATCCAACCCTATCGGATGCGGCGTTGGTCACCCTGTGATGGTTATGGGCGAGATTTCTTTTTCCGTGCATTGGGTCTGTGGTTTCTAAAGATAAGTGTATGTTTTTGTGCATTAGTTCTAAAGCCAGAGTGATGCACGGAGAGCATTTAAGCGCTCTTCTGTTCCGTGTCCGCGAAGGCCATCTGTGTACTGACCGAATGACGGATTGCAGGTTCTCAGAACTACGTCATAAGAAACAGCAGAAGCCGGAAGTCAGAGGATGGCCAAAATGACGTCACTAATCGGTATTTCCTCTTGAAGATGTTACGCTCGGACCAGGTGCAAGATGACACTAATGGGTCTCTAATAGTTAGCACTTGATTGTTTTTTATATAGTATCACCGTGTTGATGAAAAAAAAACGCTATCACGTGAAAAGTCTCCCATGGCCACAAACACAAAGCGTTGTCGTGGTTTTTGAATGTTTGTGTTTCACAATTCGTACTTACCATCCTCCGTCCACATTTTCTTTACAGCTTCGTTTTCGTTTTGCCACGACTGTACATTTTCTCCTCTTTCTTCTTTTTCCTCTTTCATTTCTTCGTATTCTTGCTGCAACTGTTGCTCCTTTTCCCTCTTCTCCTCCTGTTCCTCCTCCTCCTCCTCATCATCATCATCATCATTATCATCATCATCCTGATGCTGCTGCTTCTATTTCTTCTTCTCTTCCTCCTCTTTCTTCTTCTCCTCACCTGCCACGTCAATTTATATCTGTTAATGAAGAAGTTTTGAAAGATTCGTGGAGAATGAAGTACATCTAAACGTGATAGTTTGAATATGATTTTAATGTGGCAGTCTATCTGTGCCTGTCGGTTTTCGTCTGACAGTGAGCTGATAGTTTGATGGAACAAAAGGCGATTCAGTTGCCGTATCGGTATGTCAGGAATATGTAATATGATATGAGATGGAATATCTTGCATCAGAGCAGCATGCGATCAAGTTTGCGAAAGGCCACCATAGAGACGGAGCTGGTATGTTAATCTTGCTCATTGTCATTCCTTATTAGCGAGAATAGACAACTGTCAGTCGAACGGAGGGGGCGACACCGGACGCTCACAATGGGCCTGCCCTTTGGCGTACTGTGATCTATTTTCAGGCCCTCATTTGCATTTTGTTGCCGTCCAGCCATGTCTACGGCATATGGATTGGGTGATAAGCCTGTCTACGAGACGTTTTGGTTCTTTGATTCTTCTGCGGTGGAATTTTATTTTGTTTATATATATTTTTAAGATTAATTTTCTTGATAGTCAGTCGTTGTTAAATGTTAGGAAAGTGTCAGGAAGTGAATTGCGAAATGTTTAGAATTGTCGGTGTCCTGGGCGGCAGTTAGGGACACGCTTGTTGGTGCTTCCGTTGCCGGCTTTATTCGTTTTCATTTCGAACTAAAGAAAGAAAATAACGAAACTTCATATCGAACTTAGGGAACTGTGCCGCCATGGGCAGTATTTTTTTCCTTGTGATTATTCATTTCCCGACGGCGGCTCCTTCACACTCACGAGGTAGTGCGCCCCGGGGAGTGGAAGGCGATTCAAGGAAATATTCCCAATTTTTTGCTCCCTCATGTCCTATGACGCCTCGAATGTTCAAGGCCCGATTATGTGCTAACACTAGTGAATTTCCCGTGTTTCTGGGGTGCTAGAAATGCGGATGTGTTTTTTTCTTTCTTTTTAATTATAGGTTAAAAGCATGTGAATGTGTGTTAGTCGCTTACACACAAGAGTGACTTCATTTTCTTTAAATATAGGAAATCCGGCCTTGTTACTTGGCAGCTCCTTGGCTGACATGTTTACCCATAGGTTGTTCGTATTTTGAAGGGACTGACAAGGATAGTTGGGCTGTTCAGTTTTAGTGGTCACGGGATATATGAATACTTATTATGGCTCCTAAACGTGGGCTCAACGTTAACCATGAGGTCTCTTTTGTGCTTTCAGAGAGCGGGCGACAGGTCGTGGAAGACAGTATGGGCGGTAGTACAAGGACACGCCCTCATCTTCTACAAGGACCGCCAGCATGCCCTGCAG